GGGTTGTGGTGACCCCAGGGCAGGACCCGGCCCTTGGCCTTGTTGACCCTCGCCCAGCAGGGCTGGGCCCATGGATCCTGGCCAGGTCCCTCTGCAGAGCCCTCCTCCCCTCCAGCAGATCAACACTCCTGCCCAGTTTGGTGTCATCTGCAAACTTGCTGAGGGTGCACTCAATCCCCTTGTCCAGGTCGTTGATGAAGATGTCAAACAGAACTGCCCCAAATGCTGATCCCTGGGGAATACCACTTGTGACGGGCCACCAACAACTCTTTGGGCCCGGCCATCCAGCGGGTTTTTTACCCAGCAAAGAGTATGCCTGTCCAGGCCGTGAGCAGCCAGTTTCTCAAGCAGAATGCTGTGGGAAACGGTGTCAAAGGCTTTACTAAAGTCCAGGTGCACCACAGCCAGTAGTAGCAAGCTGTTACCATGTAGTTAGTGGATGTGTGTGGTGGCAGCAATAAACTACGTGAAAAAAAGCCCTTCTCTTGGACCTTCTGGGAGGTTTTGGTAAATATTGACACTCTTAAAATGGTCTAATCTACAATATTTGCATCTGTTCTTGATATCATTTAATATTTAAGGTCATGTGCTAGACATTATCATCAATATGTTTGTTTTGTTTTGTTTTTTTAGAGTGAAGATGAAATAAGAACACTGAAGCAACAAAAGCGTAAGTGGGCAAAATAATTGAGTACATAGAAACTTTGTTTGCAAAGGCTGGCAAGGTAATGCAGGTCACATAACTGTAAGTTTATATGTAACAGGAGGATAACTGAGTTGCTGCTTAATTCAAACAGCCAGCCTAAACTCTTTCCAAAATACTCATTCACTTTTAAACTGGAAACATTCTTTTCTGGACTCCAGTAACTTAAAGGTAACGGGGTAGTAGGGGAAAGCAAATGTTATGTTTTATTCATGTTATCCTGACACTCACGGTATTTTACGTTTTGTAGTTGATGAAGCTTTTGAACGGGAACAGACAACTCAAGAATTGCACGAAAGCAATGAACAAAATACTGTCTCGGAGGAAGGAGGGGAAGAGCAAGAGGAAAAACCTGTCCCCTTAACACTGGAAGAAAGAGAAAACAAAGATTACCTTAAATCTTTGTTTGAAATCCTGATACTAATGGGGAAACAAAATATTCCATTGGATGGCCATAGTGCTGATGAGCTTCCAGAAGGAATTTTTACTCCAGATAACTTTCAGGCACTACTGGAGTGTAGAATAAATGCTGGAGATGAAGTTCTGAGGAAACGGTTTGAGATGACTGCAGTCAATCTTGAGTACTGTTCGAAAACTCAGCAGAAACAAATGCTCGAGATCTGTGAAAGCTGTGTTAGAGAAGAGACACTGAGGGAAGTAAGAGACTCGCACTTCTTTTCTATTGTCACCGATGAAGTAGTAGACATAGCAGGAGAGGAACATTTGCCGGTGTTGGTGAGATTTGTTGATGATTCTCATAATCTAAGAGAAGAATTCGTAGGGTTTTTACCTTACGAGGCTGATCCTGAAATTTTAGCTGTAAAGTTCCACACGACTATTACGGAAAAGTGGGGTCTGAACATGGAGTACTGTCGAGGTCAAGCCTACATCGTCTCCAGTGGGTTTGCTTCTAAAATGAAAGTTGTGGCTACAAGACTCTTGGAAAAGTATCCACAAGCTGTGTATACGCTGTGTTCCTCTTGTGCCTTAAACGTTTGGCTGGCAAAATCCGTTCCTGTCGTTGGTGTTTCTATTGCGTTAGGAACAATCGAAGAAGTTTGCCGTCTTTTTAATCAGTCTCCACAATTACTAGTAGAACTGGACAACACAATTTCTGTTCTTTTTCAGAACAATGAGGAGAAGGGTAACGAGCTGAAGGAGATCTGCCGTTCTCAGTGGACAGGCAGGCATGATACTTTCGAGGTTTTAGTGGACCTCATGCAAGCACTGGTACTGTGCTTGGATGCGGTAAGCAGCGACTCATCCGTCAGGTGGAACAACTTTATTGCCGGTCGAGCATTTGTACTTTCAAGCGCATTAACAGATTTTGACTTCATTGTCACTATTGTAATTCTGAAAAACGTTCTGTCTTTCACGAGAGCGTTTGGAAAAAATCTCCAAGGACAAACATCAGATGTGTTCTTTGCAGCCAGCAGCTTAACAGCAGTGTTGCATTCTCTGAATGAAGTCATGGAGAACATTGAAGTTTACCATGAATTTTGGTTTGAGGAAGCAACAAATTTAGCTACAAAACTGGATGTACAAATTAAACTCCCTGGAAAATTCCGCAGGGCACAGCAAGGTAGCTTGGACTCTGAGGTAACATCAGAAAATTACTACAAAGAAATCCTTAGTGTCCCCACAGTGGAGCATATTATTCAAGAATTAAAAGATATATTCTCAGAACAGCATTTAAAAGCTCTTAAGTGTTTATCGCTGGTGCCCTCAGTCATGGGGCAGCTCAAATTCAATACGTCTGAGGAGCATCACGCTGACATGTACAAAAATGACTTGCCTAATCCAGACACGCTTTCTGCTGAGCTTCATTGTTGGAGAATCAAGTGGAAGCACAGGGGGAAAGATATTGAACTTCCAGCTACTATTTATGAAGCACTTCACTTGCCGGACATCAAGTTTTTCCCTAATGTTTATGCGTTGCTTAAAGTCTTGTGCATACTCCCAGTGATGAAGGTGGAGAATGAAAAATATGAAATAGGACGAAAGCGCTTAAAGGCATACCTGAAAAACACCTTGACGGAGCAGAGGTCAAGCAACCTAGCTTTGCTAAACATAAACTTTGATATAAAACATGACTTAGATTTAATGGTGGACACCTACATTAAACTCTATCCCGATAAAGTGGAATTTCAAGAAGACTTTATTCCCTCAAACAACTCTGAAGTAACAGAAGAGGCTTAATTTTTTAAGCTCTAACCAATCTGTTGAAACAGCTTTTCCTTAATTAAGTTTCAACGCTAAGGAAAAAAAAAAAAACCTGTGAAATCTATAAAATCACTGCAATTGTATTTCCATTTTAGGTCTTGGATTGAAGAAGCTGCGATCAGTGACCCAAATTATGTTTTGTTAGTCTGCATTAAATGTGTTACGCGAACAAAACCAAGCCTAAAAATAAGCCCATGCTCTTAGCAGAGGTGCTTTCTACATCTGATTGACTTAACTAGGTGCTCGTTTACTTCATTGCATCTTGGAAAAAGTACTTTGGGATTGTAGACCTGATGGGGCTGTTACATATTTGCTCATGAATTCGGATAAAAAACCCTCAAAATGTTAAAAAGGTTATTATCCACTTCAGTTCTGTTACTTGGTATTTTATTCTTTTTGAAAACTTCTTTTTTTTTAAAAAAAAAAAAAAAAGTAGTCTTTGATGTATATTTAATTGGCATTTTGGAGAGTGGATGCAGCTATTGCACGATCCCCGTGCTGTGGACTGTTCTCGGTGTAAAGTGAATGTTAGTGGTATAGAGGTACGTTTACGGTTTCACTGGAAGAGTCAACCTCTTTAATCTCTCGATGACTGTTTACATTCCTTTGTGTGAGACACAAAACTTTTTTTTTTCCTTTAGGCTTTTAACAGGCATGGCAGAAATACTGAAATTCCTCAAAGACACTAAAAACTTAAAATCTATTCCACAGACCTTTAAATCTCTTTGTTCTGTCTTGACTCTGACACAAACCCGCGCATCTTATTGTCTGTTTATTTGTAAACTCACCCAGGAAAGATTAAAATAAGAGTTTGTTGTTTGTCTAGAAGTAAGATTCAAAATATTGCTGTTATTTTTGGCAAGAATGAAGCATTTTTGTACAGTTTATTGCAATTTAAAATAAAATGTGAATTGCTTTTTACTTGGTATGGAATTTCTTAGTAAAGCTGTGCCTCTGAGAATGTGTATTCTTTTGTAAGGTACTGTTTAGTTTGGGCAATTTTTTTTCTCCATTGTTTTTGCAATTCTAGTGAGTGGCATTGTCTTAAGACACGGGAAACTTTGTGTAACAGCACTTCTGTGTGTTCTGCTGAAGGTTTTTTTTTTAAAGTATTTGGAGGTCGCACTAAATACAGTGCTTTTAACGGTCAAGTTCTGTCTAACTGAAGGAGGTGTGTATAGAACAAATTTGAAATGGTTGAGAAGTTCAGTTTTGCAGCTCTCCTGACACATGCCAAATGCTCCGAGGGCTGGAGCCCCTCTGCTCTGAGGCCAGGCTGGGAGAGTTGGGGGTGTTCAGCCTGGAGAAGAGAAGGCTGCGGGCAGAGCTGAGTGCGGCCGGTCAGGGCTTCAAGGGGGCCCAGAGGAAAGGGGGGGACAAGCTTTTTAGTAGGGCCAGCTGGGACAGGACAAGGGGGGATGGCTTTAAACTGAAGCAGGGTAGGGTTAGACTGGATCTAAGGAAGAAATTCTTTACGCTGAGGGTGGTGAAACCCTGGCAGGGGTTGCCCCGAGAGGGGGTGGAGGCCCCATCCCTGGGAACATTCCAGGCCAGGTTGGACGGGGCTGTGAGCAACCTGATGTGGTTCAAGGTGTCCCTGCTCCTGCAGGGGGGTTGGGCTGGGTGACCTCTAGGGGTCCCTTCCAACCCAAAACATTCTATGATTGTATGATTCTATAGCTTATTTACAGTTGTCCTTTTTTGTGCTTTCCCGTTGCAGTGGGAAAGAGCCCCGGCAACAGAAAACTGAGTGATTGTACAGACTGTGACAAGTACAGTTCTTCATGTTTTAATGCAGTCAAACAATAAGAATAAATTGGGGAAAAAAACCCAAACCCTTTACCAAGTAAGCTTAGATATTAAAGTGGGTATGCGCCTCTTAAGAAATGTTTTCAGGAGCTTTTATTATTATTTATTATTTATTTTATTTATTATTTTATTTTCAGGAGTAGTAAAAATTACTCTTTAAAAGTATTATCTTTTCTTTCCACTGCAATTTGCTTATGCTTTCTGGCATGCTTTTGTGTTAATGCAATCGTTGCCTTGATCAGTAAGAAGTGTTTTAGCTAATAGCTTGCTCTGTTCCTCTGAATATACGAAAATAGCCCAAATCTGTGTTAATGCAATAAAAAAAGAGAAGAATTTTTAATTAGAAGTCCTATGGAAAATTGTCTTTTTTAAAGAAGATCTCAATTACCATTTTAATACAATAAATAAGTAAAAATTAAAAAAAAAAATCTTTCCCATCCTGGGAATGTCTGTGAGTTCCCCCGCTACATACAGCAGTGCGAGGTGGCTGCGACCCCTGAGATTGCAATCCCCGTATCAATAAAGTCGGGTTGGATGAGCCCAGGCTTATGGGCATAACCAGAGGAGGAAAATGGATACCCAGTGCCATACAACTGGCCAAAAGAGCTGAAGGCTGCTTTCTGACTGTGTAAATGAGATCGTTTTTTTGACCGATGTACTGAGACAAATTGCAGAAGGGAAATGCAGTAAAACACTCCTTCAGCTGCTGAAGTGTCCTCTGGAGCTCAGCTGAGACGTACGGTTGTGACTAGCCTTGCTAATTAGCTGGCTCCACGAGCCTCGATCGCTTGATGGTTGCACAGCCTTTCCCAGAGAAGCTTGGGTTGTCTGTAAGCACCCAGCAGCCCCTTATTTAGCCCCTTTGCGTTGTCCTGGTGGCGAAGGAATGCCTCAGGTTTGGGGCGCATCAGTGCATCGCTTAGGAACCCGCAGCAGGTAGCGCTGAATAGCGAGGGCTCAGCAGGGTGCGGAGGAGCAGGGGAATAGCAGATTGCAACGCCACCCCTTCCCACTTCAGAGATTTGTGTGGAGGAAAACCATTTACTGAAGCTATAGTGGCTCCCGACTTATTTCTGGGGGTGCAGAGGAAGGGTATGACTGATGTGGAATCCAATACTATCATTTTAAAGAGAACGCTAATACTAGAGCAGGTCAGAGACTGAGAGAGAGGTGTCTGAAAATGGGACAAATAATCACTGAAGACAAATTGATAAATTTTTGTTCCTTTTTTTTTTTAACAGATTCTCAAGACAGAGGACATTGTCATCTTAAATACCCTGCCCGTTCAGGGCAGCATGTGTGTCCTAGGTGCATCTGAGGTATTTACCTTGCTTTGACCTGGCTTTTTGGCACACTCGGTGCAATGAAGCAACGTGTCTGTTTAAATTATTTTAAGTTATCGCTGCTGAGAAACGAACATATTTCAGTGAAAGTGGATTTTCCTTGGCTGCTCGGCCAATTTGTGTTTTGTGAAAGCAAAGTCTTAAGACCACACAAAGTCTTAAGAATACCCAAACTCGATTTCCTTTTCCCGGGCACAGAGTTCCTGTTAGAACTCACTATTGCTTCTTCGAAAAGTAGCATGTAGCTTTCTGTCTCCTGTAGTGTTATTTCTGTCACTGGCCGCGGAAATCCTGTAGCTGCTTGTTTGGCTGCCAAGGTTCTGCTGTAAAGAAGCAGAGGAGCTGAACCACTTAATGATTCTGGGTGCAGCTACCCTGTTCCCCCCTGCGCTCCGTTTCTGTGAAACACTGCAAATCTCAGAGTTGCCAGAAACATCCCAATTACTCTTAAGAAGATGAAAATAAATCTCTTTACTGGATCCGTTTCAAGAAACGGTTGCTAACCTAGAATAGCAATAGGTGTCGTCCCAAAGCAGGCTTAACGTTCAGTAATTTCCAGAACTCTTAGGCTCCCTGCTTTCCCTAAGGAAAACAGTTCTTGGAAAGAATAGCAATCTCCCCAAGATTTTACCTATGTATAAGTAGTGAGGCATCAGCAAAAAGACACAGAGTTGGAAGTTGTAGACAGATCTATAGGAATTTCAAAACACGGGCATGTTCGTCCTAAGTTTACTTTGCAAAATAACTCTGCTAATCGAATGGAATTCAATGTGCACGTTCCATAGCGCATTCGTTGTTCGTTTTGTTATTGCCGTAGTTGTCCAGTGTCTCCGTTAATTTATTTTTATGTTGCAAGCTTGCTTTTTTTTGTTAAAACCATGCCTGTTTGTCTTCTGTTTTAGCTGGCATCACAGGTATCCCTGGAAGTCTCCTCGCAGGCAAGGCAGGTGCTGGTAGAGTTTTTTTGGTGAGACTGAAGAGAAGCGGTGCAGCAGAGGTAGAAGAGGTGCCCTTGTAGTCCCCTATTCCTCTGGTTTTGTAGTGTCCCAAAGTTAAATATGTCACTTAAACCGTGTCGCTGCCAGTGTGATCTTGCAGTAGATGATGCTCGTGTGTTGCAGTGGCTACTGCGTGTTTTGCCTGAGGTTCCCAACGACACCGCCTGCGTGTTAAATCGACGTCAAAACTCTTTAGGAATAAATTAGTTTCCTGGTTGTAGAACTTGGGGTGCAGGCTAAAGGATGGCTTTTACCATCCCCCAAAGCCACCCGTGCTACCTACAGACCTCCCACAAACCCTTAACGCGTCCGTGAGCACGTGCTACAGCAACGCTGTAAGGGAACATCTGTGGGGGAAACGTAGGATCCTTCTTGCTGAGAAGCCATGCTGTGAGCCTGCAAGCGTGCCATATGGAATCCAGACTAGAGCATAGGCTTCCCGTGCAGCGGCTGGAGGAGAGGGGCCTGCGACAGCTCTACCTTTACTAAAAACCATGGAGCAACGCTGATTTGCATCTAAGTATTGAGATTCCCCATGAAAGCTGGGGACGGAGGCAGTTCAGCGCCTCTGACAATATTTTCAGGTGTCTCATGGCATCTTTCACCGAGAGGTGGCTGCTGAGTCTCTAATCATCCATGACAGTCTGCGGTCAGAGCTGGGACTACACGGGCAACTGCTAGAGCCTGGAAGTGCAGCTCCTGTCGCCTCTTCAGCCAGCAAACATCTGAGGATCTGGGGAAAGGACTGTCTTCCCTTGCTCCTGGAGGAACCTCTGGAAGGCCTGCTCAGCAAGACACCACCTCTGGCATGGCCCACAAGCCTCCACGGAGTTTTGCAGCAGGTAGATTCTGTCAACCAAGAGACGTCGGCATCTGCCATCAACAGGACGTGGTGTTTGAGGGGAAAAAAATCACCAATGCCTGGTGAAGCAGCCGGGCACTTGTATGCAGTCAGCACTTGCTGACTTGGTGAAGGAAAGATGTTTATGAGCTATGGGGAAGGAGGGGTCATGGGTTTGGGTCGTGAGGCAAGCAGGAGAGAGGTGGGGAGATACACAAGAGAGCTGGTCAAGGGTACGGGTTAGTTGGTAGCGTGATGCTCTAAGCCTGTGTGCTACATAGGCCCAGAGCTAAGCCTGGATGTGGTCCTGGTCATCTCCTCCACCCACCAGTGGAGCAGACATGGGCTGGAGGGCTTTGTGCTGCTGACAGAACAGCTCCCTTGCAGAAAGCACGGAGCAGGCTGACAGCGCTGGGGAGGTTGGGCTCGCGTCCGTCCCTGCGGGTCCACCATCGTGTGCAGGCAGCCAACTAAAGGCACAGTTGACCTCCTTCCTAAACTGGAGGACTTAGCAAGTTGAAGGTGGATCATCTGGTTTATTAAATGAGAGGCCGCTTCAAGGCCCGCAGCCCAATTATGCCACGTGTTGTACATACCCTGAAAAGACTATTCATGGAGAAATGGGATCCATATGGGCAGATCCTTACTGGTGAGCACGTCCCGCTGAAGAACGGCCTTGGGTATCTGCCTGCAGAGATCAGGCTTAGTAGGATTCGGGCCTTAACTCTTAATTTATAACATTGAACAGCTCTGGAGAAGAGGGAGGGATGTGTAGGAGGTACAGTGTAAAGCGGACGGCACTGTGACATGCGTGTCCCCCCCAGGGAGTGAGGTTTGCTGCCTTCGCCTTGGTGTGAGGCTCTCTGCTCCAGGAATGAGCAGAAATATCATGGTCTGGCCCAAATTCCTCCCTGGAGGAAGGAGACAGATGATATCATTGTTGGAGTTGTTTGGACATCATAAAGGTACTTACAGAAATGAGAAAAATATGGTTTTAATTCTTTTTTTTTTTTAATAATAAAAAACTAACGGAAAGCAACGAGTGCCAGGAACCTCACTGAGAAAAGAGTCTTTGCACCCTGGAGAACTTCTCGTTGCCTAATGAATAAGTGCTTCGAAGTCACTTTTTGGTTCTTTTTTTGTGTGTGTGTGTGTGTATATGTGTATAAAGTATGCAGAGCCAGATGAAGTTCCACGTTTGTCTTGCAGATGTCAACTTTGCTGAGCAATGCTTTGGTTCAGAAGAAGCGCGCCCACGGTGAAAGGCACGTGGCTTGTTCCTGGGAGACTTTGTCCACACTGTACACAGCTCCTCCTGAGCCCTGTACCCTCCGATCCTAGCACACAACAACCTACATGAGCCTAAACACACGCTAATTATCAGATAGTTTCCACCCCACTCTTGAAAAGATTTAAGTGGAAGTATGAGAGTGAGCGTTGACTTTAAGACCTCCCAAGGTCACTGTACGAAACTATACCTTCCATCAATGACTTAGACAGCGAGATCGAGTGCACCCTCAGCAAGTTTGCGCATGACACCAAACTGAGTGGTGCGGTTGACACACCAGAAGGATGGGATGTCATCCAGAGAGACCTGGACAGGCTGGAGAGGTGGGCCTGTGTGAACCTCATGAGGTTCAACAAGGCCAAGTGCAAGGTCCTGCACTTGGGTCGGGGCAACCCCCGGTATCAGTACAGGCTGGGGGAAGAAAGGATGGAGAGCAGCCCTGCCCAGAGGGACTTGGGGGTGCTGGTGGATGAAAAGCTGGCCATGAGCCAGCCATGGGCGCTGGCAGCCCAGAAGGCCAACCCTACTCTGGGCTGCATCGGGAGCCAGGCTGGGAGAGTTGGGGGTGTTCAGTCTGGAGAAGAGAAGGCTGCGGGCAGAGCTGAGTGCGGCCGGTCAGGGCTTCAAGGGGGCCCAGAGGAAAGGGGGGGACAAGCTTTTTAGTAGGGCCAGCTGGGACAGGACAAGGGGGGATGGTTTTAAACTGAAGCAGGGTAGGTTTAGACTGGATGTAAGGAAGAAATTCTTTACGCTGAGGGTGGTGAAACCCTGGCAGGGGTTGCCCAGAGAGGGGGTGGAGGCCCCATCCCTGGGAACATTCCAGGCCAGGTTGGACGGGGCTGTGAGCAACCTGATGTGGTTCAAGGTGTCCCTGCTCCTGCAGGGGGGTTGGGCTGGGTGACCTCTAGGGGTCCCTTCCAACCCAAAACATTCTATGAGTCTATGATTCAGATCGATGTCGTGCCTGAGGCAGGGTACCTTGTGCCACCAGAGGTGGCAGAAAGCTTGAAGGAATTGCTGCGTGGCAGGTGAGCCCACCTCTCTCCATTTAGCAGCTCTTACAAACTTTAATCCCGTAAGTGTTTCACAGTGGCGGAAGACGTGGGGTTTGGGAAACCTGTGGCTTCGGTGTGGGTTCTGGCATATGTAAAGGCACCCTTCTGCGTTATTAAAAAAGCTGGATTTGGAAAGTACTTGTAATGCATACAATTTGACATCGGGTATTTCTGCATTTTCCAGACTATTTCACGTTCTCATTCTAACAGCGGGGATAATGGAACAGACTTGCAACTCTAATCCTGACTCCTTGCACCTCTCAGGCAGGACAATACAGCTGGAGCCTGGATGCAGTTGCCCATCTGAGAGCACACCATTGCTCCCGGGAAACTCTTCAAGGGAAAAAAATAAATGCTGAAAATGCCAGCGCAGCCATTTTCTGCACTATTTCCTTCTCCAAGGTATGCCTAAGGTACTGCACACCTTGCGGCTCCGCGGTCCTTCAGGTCTCACCACTCCTCTTTTCTCCCAGCACTGATACGGAAAGAGCTTCAAGGAGGACAGGTCTTTTTCCAGGGCTGGGTGTTATTTTTCTGCTCCTGTGTGGCCTATAGTTCTGTGCCTAACTTTGCTGCCCTCTAAGGTCCCTCTTTTCAAAGGTCAGTGTTCTTGAATGCCTGTACTTTGTGTTTCTCAACTGGAGATGCGTGGACATGGTTTAGTGGTGGGATGGCAGGGTTAGGTTAAAGGTTGGACTCGATGATCTCAAAGGTCTTTTCCAACCAAAGTGATTCTGTGATTCTGAGAAAGGCTGTGATTTTTAGGAATTGTTTAGCATTACTCCTCTGTGGAAAGGAGCTTTAAAGCAGTGTCAAGCTGGGCATAGACAGTTGAAGGCACTCAGATGCACAGATCTTGAAAATCTCAGTCTAGGAACAAAGTTCAGCATCTGAGTAGAGCACTGGGGCTGTATTGTTTAGCTACCTTGGTATTACACTGCGTCCCCTAGGTGGCTTTAGTAGATCGTGTGACAACGAAATCTTTTCTAAACAATTTTAAAATTTTCTTCTTTTCATACTTCCCCTCATTTTAATTGTGGTTTGGAGAATAGAAAAAAAAACCTGCTGCATCCAATTTCTGCTATTAAATATTACACATGCTATATTTTTTTCTACTTTACTCCATTTATTTTCCCCTTCCCAATTTCAGCCCAACAGTCCTTCACTTTTTTTGTCTCCAAAGTTGCATTATCTTCTGAATTCCAGGTCAAATGTCCGTCATTGCTCCTGGTGTTTTTGAGGCTCTCTTCTATTCTGACCAGGGCATATTTGCAAGATGTATTGGGTTAGGTTTGCTGTTTAAACAAACCAACCCACTCATTTTCTCACCTAGCCTCCCATTTCTTCCTCATCCCAAAAATCCTGCTTTTATGGACCCCAACTGTAGAAAAGCAGCGAGTTCCTCTTTGGTTTTCTTCAAATACCACTATTCTTCAAATAGTTAATAAAAATTTGTGCTTTCCTTCTGTAAGGTTGGTATGCAGGGAGCCCAGCCCAGGGAACTACCCTGACAGTGTTCAGGCAAAAGGCAGCCTTAAAACAGCTCAAATTGATGAAAAATGTTCTAGGCTTTACACTGGAGCGTCCCCTAGGTGAATCCTCAGGTGTGAGTGCAGGAACAGCCCTTACCATGATCCCAAATAGCATAACCCCCAAGGGATGCTTTACCCACTGACCGTGGCAACCTGTAGAGTCAGGATGCTCTTGGAACAGCTACTGATTTTGCTTACTCTTTCTTGGGTTGACCAGCTTGCTGTTGGTGCAGTCCTTACCTGTCGATTAAACGACATACTTAGCGAGCCATCACGGGTGGCTGAAAAGTTGCAGCGTTCGTACCGTTTCTTTCATCAGAGATTGAGAATGTTACGAGATGCCGTGGTCACACGGGCAGTCAGCTGCTGAGCATGCGTAGCGGAAGGTGTTCACTGCTAGTGAGGATTTGGGTTAGGTACCAGACTGCATGTATCCATACCCTGCTGTTGGGTCAGGTCATATGGATCCACACCCTTTGCTGTTTGCACTTCTTTAGCTTCTCTGCGCTGACTCGCAGCTTTTAAAATACTGGTTTGTATCATCATGTCCTGCTCCCTCCTACTCTGCATGAGTGGTGAACCTTGCTGATCATGGCCTGCTCTGCTGCCTGATGTCAGGGCTTTGCAGGCAGACTTCTCCCTGTGCTCTGCCCATGCTCCCAGCAGAAGGGGAACTGGGAACCTGCAGTTGAAAGCAGGACCAACGCACCCTCCTGCAGATGAGGAGATGGCTCCAGGGTTCCTGCTTGGCTAGGGACACAGGTGGACTCACTCTCTTTTGTATGCAAAAGACCATGTAGATACAATCATGGGTACTCATATGACCCCCATTTCTGGAGTATTTTCTATGTCTATTTATTTTCATAAAATCTCTGGGATATAAGGCCCAGTTATCAGGTATCTGAAGTGATATTTGGTCACACAAAATATTTGCAGTGAATGAGGACACTGCATCAAGGTATCCCAATGCCCTGCCTAGTGCTATAAAGCAACATCTCTAGTCCAGGAGATTTACAGATACGACATGACGAGAGACAGCAGAAACAAGACAAACGATACTTAAAGAGAAGGGGTAGCAGGGGCGAGTTAGTTTGGGATAAATCAATGTAGAGTTCATGGTATTCATGAAAGGTAAGAAGACAGCCCCTCCTATCATCAGTGTTTGGATTCACAGCAGTGGCCAAGGAAGGATCACCAGCAGAGAAAGAATCTTAGAAACTCGTTCCATGTGTGTAAGCATCTTCTTCTCCCATAACAGCACCATCTCCTCATGCAGCGACAGCAGTTTATGAACGGTTCCACTTCACGTGTTCCTCTTCACGCCGACGCTCGCGCCCCGAGACCGAGCATCTCTGCAGAATAGACGGCGGGAAGAGGTTGGAGACAGGAGCGTGAGCGTAGGGAAGAAGCACAGGTTGGTAACATCCACTCGAAACATTAAATACCCACAGCTGACTCAGAAACCTGCGTCCTGTGTTTATCTAATCACAAAAAAAAATATTAATATAGCAATTTCTTCATTTCCAGCAAATCAATATTTCCTGAAGTATTGCGATACTTGCCCTGAGCTGAGCAGAGCTCCACTAGGATTTTAGTTTACAGACAATTTGGTAATATCCTATTACATGTAAGACTTGTGCTAGGTCAGATAAAACCGTGTCTTGCATTCCTTGCTTGTCCCAGAACTGCTGCACAAGAGATGTTTCAATGTGCTAAAGGCATAAAGAGTTACGAGTATGCAGTTTTAGCATATTTTTAGGGATATTTGAATATAACATAGCCTTTACAGAGTAACTACTTCTCCTGGGCTGGGAGAGAATTTGGGAACAGAGCTATAAAATAATTGGTATTTTTGGTTCAACAGTAATCCTGAATAATAAAAAAAGATGTCTTTTAAATAAATAGTCATAATCTGGCGTGAACATAATTTTATAAGTTTTTAATCCTCTCAAGATTAAGTTGAAGACAAATTAAGGCAAACTTGTGCGGTTAGGTATCATCAAAATAAAATATTTCCTCTTAAAAACAGAATTCCATTCATCCTGAATGAACCACGCAGGAAAACGGAGCAATTCACAGAGCATTTTCCCAGTTTACAGACGGTTTCAGTTGAAAAACTTCGATGAATGCCATATAAAATCATTTGTCTGTATCACCCCGATCCACCTCATTTTCATAATAAAGCCATCAGAGGGAGTGCGCAGCTGAGCCGTAAGCAAATCTTTTGTCTAGGGTTGGGGTTTTTTTTTTTACGTTTATAGAAAAGTAACAAGTGTTGCTGCAGCAGGGTGGGAGGGAGAACATTTCTGGTATTTGAACAACCTGGCATTCTTTTTCCATGTGGAATACAAATATGTGTTGTATTACAGAGGGGTCACCTTAGACCTGACATTCTTACGTTTCCTTCCTGTATTAAAAAAAAAAGGAAAGAACAAAAAGCAAAACCGTATACGAGGAAAAAAAGATGGCAGTAACAATTTC